TATTAAAAAAAATTATGTGATTTAATATCATTAATTTTTACATATAAGAGTGCAGTTTTCCAACCATGAAGTGATTTCATACATTTGCAAGGGACACTCAGTCAGAGAAAAATTGTCATTACTAGCATTACTTTCAATAGAAAAAGAGCTTTTAAATACTTTGATGAAATCAACGACAAGTGATTTTTATGATAAAGTAATTAAAGACTCTGCAGAAAAAAATCACAGAATAGAGTTAGTTAATAAAATATAACAGAAACAAGTTTTTATATCTGTTTCATGTCAATGTATTTATTTTAAAATTAAAACAAATAAAACTGTTTATTTTTGTCATTTCCAGTACTTTAAAATTTTTATGAAAACACAGCTTCCCTATCATCAAATGTCACCACACGCCACTGCAGCATTGGCTCATCTATAGTTTATGACAAAGAAACAAAAAATTGCCAAAGTTTTTCACTTACTAACCAAAACATACTGATTTACAGTGTATTTTTGAAGGTAGAATGAAATAGTTAGCTGTTAGGTTAAATGTATTCTAACATGCCCATTAATAATCTGGCAACCTACAGTCCAATAATGCCAGATTAGTGATGATCAACATATATATAAAAAAAAATAAGAGGCCATCTTTTTATGAAAAATCAACAAGAAAATGGTCTAAATCATCACTTCTTAAATCATATTTTTTCAATTTAGAGGAAGGATGAACTAACCTTTATATTTTCATATGTGCAAATAGGAATATAAACAAAATTAAGAGAATCGATCGTTTCTAACTTAAAATTCAATTTTGAAATTTTCTATTTCATAAAATACCTGTTTGTGATTTATGAATTATATTCAACAATTTAGCACCTTTCTTCGTTTGTCATACAGTTCTAAAATTAATTTGATAAAAATACGTTTTCTTTCTTCAGTGAAGTGCCACATGTTTATGTTTTCTGTCATTTTGTAACAAACAACCCTACTAACCTGATGCAACGCAACAACACACCAACTACTGCTGTAAATCATTGGGCTATAAGTTTCAGTTTAATCTAAATTATTAACTTTAATATGAGATGGTGCCTAACACTTCCTTCTAGTGCCAAATTCATTTGTAATTTATAATTATTTATTACAAATTATAGCCCAATGATTTACGAGAGTTGTTAGTGTGTTGTTGCCTTGCATTGGGTTAGTAGGATTGTTTATATGTATATCTCTGCCTTACCGGGTATATGATGGACTGAGTGCCTTTTGTGAATGTTTACTGGATGAGGGTGCTGAATGCGTCCCCAGTCAGCACTGTAGTAACCGACGATGGTAATAGCTTAACGTTAAATATACTGGAAAAGGAGATTGGACCAGAGATCCCGGTATTATAACTGGCAATGACTTCGTGTGGTAAGCAAAAGTTGTGGATTCAAGTCCCGCTTCAGGCTGATTCTTTTCTTCAAGTTTAATCTAAACTATTTAATTAAATATTATAATTTTTAATTATTTATTCCAAATCATAGCCCAATAATTTACAGCGGTTGTTGGTGTGCTATTTTTTTGTGACAAAGCAATTCATCCAACTGGTTTACTGATGTCTAAAAGCCAGGAGCAACAGCATTAAATGCAATAGTGAAAATTTCTCAGAAGTTCATTTAGATTAACCTTGAGAGACAAGAAGTCTCCCTGTTGCTCGTAGCAGCCAATGAGTCTGAATAGATTTATCTTTTGAGTACAGTTCTTGTTTACAACACAAAATAAAAATGAAGGATATTTGCTCATTGATGGGACATGATGTTTAATTTAATTAATTCAATCATAATACCAATTTACGATATAACTGCACTATTAAAAAATATCGCAACAAGATATTCAATACTCAAAGATACACACTTTCATGCCTTTAGCGAAAATTTATGACTACCAGGTACCAGGAAGAAATGTCAATCGCATGACTCCAGCAACTTATTTTGCACAAACAATATACATTGTTTGTGCAAAATAAAAAATAATATTTTCGAATGATATAATAGCCATGATTATTTTTTTCACAAATTGAAAATTTCCATTAGGCATAGACAAAAATTCAACTCGGCGACATGCAACTGACAGAAATTTCTATATTGAATAGGTTAATTTCATCAAAAATGCGCCGTGGCCAAGGTTGGTGAAATTTGAACGATTGCAGCGAATCTTGAGTCTCTGAGACATAGTCTTGTCCCATAAATTGGCTTTGCCGTTTTACTTGTTTATTTATGTATTTATTTTAGAATTCTGGTTATCTTTTATTTTTAAATATATATATATATTAATAAATGTAAAAAAATATATTTTGGATATTTGTTTTAATATAAAATTAACAACAACTAGCACCATCTAGTTTCAAAAACGTTCCAATGCTGAAATGAGAAATCTTGGGTCAACTGGTTGAGGTCAGCAGATTGCAACCAGAGGCAAATGGGTTTTTCAAAGATTCGTTTGTCAAAATTCAATTTCTCAACGTCCACATTTCCAACTTCCCAATGATATATGCATGTGCAAATCTCACACTCTTGCCTGTTTGTAGAAAGAGTGCTGCCATTTTGTATTTTATTTTGACTCTGTTCTCGGTCCCGGGTACCTACAAGTCTGGTTTTTTGTATATGCACATGACTTGGGCACCTAATACTCTGTACCAAATTTCAACTCCTGACATGTACTCCTTCATACCTCTAAGCTGGTAATCTGTGACAGCACCATGATTTTATAAACAAGACATAGTCTGAAATCGTAACTGTGAATAATAAATAAATAACTACAGAAATAAAATAAACAGTAAAAAGTAAAAATTGAAGAATAAACATATCTTAATAAAATCAACTTTCATAAAAAGACCACCATGCGGTAGCCAAACTGTCGGCATATCTTCTGTTTCATCGTAGCTGAAGATTGGTTAAACTGATCGAAAATGTTTTTATTAGTAAATTTTTTTGCTGGATTTTTAAAGGTTTTTCTTGTTATATTAGAGTTGCCTACATTTGTTATTTTTATTTTCTTTTAACCCTAGATAACTAAACTTAAATTCTAGTTACATTATAACTACACATTTGTCGAGCGGATTATGCATTAAAAATTGTTAATATCAACAAAATTGTTTAATAAAAATAAGAACTTGTTACATGGCACAATAGTATGGATAAATAGGAACTAAATAAGGACAAAATATTTAGGAAATAAGATAACATGCAGTTGCTACATATATTAACATTATGGGGGCTGCAAAACGCATTTTTGCATTTCATGCACCAGTATTTTGTCATTCGTCAAGCTTTTGATTAACATAAATAGCATATTTTATGCAGATTCAATGCAGAATAGGTAGGAGCTACTACACTGGGCACATCACCTAGAATATCCTGTATTATGGTTCTGATATCACGCCTCAAAGGCACTGTCTGTAACCACTGTTGTACCGGGTCTCCATAAGTTTGTCTCCATCTTCATAAAGAAATCTCACCGGGACATTATATACCATGAGTGGGCAAGCAAGAGTTCAGTGGGAGCCAAAATGTAGGTTTTGCAAAATGCATGGGAGCTGTAGTGTACTTCTACCGTACACTACGGCTGTACTTTTTTTAATTCTGTACCGTGATTTTATTATATAATATAAAAGAAAAAATTGAATTTTTTAAATAAACATATTTTCACAAAAATGTGGAAATAAAATTGTAAAAATAATAATAAAAAGCAGAAATTAACACTTTCAGCAAGAGCTGCATTTGCCCATGTCTAATATATACTGATTGGAGAGAAAATTAACACAAAAAGGCATCAACTATCATTTCTCTGAATGTTTTATATTCTTATGAGTGCTTTTGACACAGTAATAAATGTTGTCCTTAGGTAGATACAGAATTGTACCGATTTTGAACACATTTTTAAAATTGAAATATAAAATGTACAGAAAAACAATAGTTAATGCCTTTTTGTGTGAATTTTCTCTCCAATCAGTAAAAATTTTTGGTGTAATATCCACCATACATGTAAGTTACCTTACAAAAAAAAAAAAAAAAAAAAAAAAAATGTATATATAGTCTTTCTTGAGAGAAAATTTTTTTATTATAAGACAAATTAATTATTTTTGTAAAAATGAATTCTTGTTAATAATTCAAATCAATCAAAACATTCTACATGTGACTCATACTATTGATCAACTGTTTACAAAAGAAATGGATTGTGGCAACTTCTTTTTTATTCATTCAAATAATATATCGTTCCAGCTCTAAGCTACAGAAATCATAACTATAAGCTATTCTGTTATCTGTTATTTGATTGGTAAGCAGAGAATGATGTTCACACAGGAAATTAAGCATCACAAAAAATTAATAACTTTTTCAGGATTTGTAAGGCCCATGGAAACCTCAATTACTTCTCATTTTATTGATTTTGATGTTAAAATAACACATATCAATTGAAAAAGGTATATCTCAATATTTATTATTAACTTACAAGCTAACTGATAGCATTAAGCAACCGATAACATCAGTGATTACAAAAATATTTTACTATAGTCATTATCTACCAGTATATAAATAAAAATGTAAATGTTCGTTTGTTCAAAATCTTATATCTCCAAAAGTTCTTAACTGATTACTTTGAAATTTTGACACAACGTTGTATTAAAATATGCACGTGTTTTTATATTACGTATATAGACATTGAAATTCCTACCCCGCGGGAAGAGGGACAAAATTAAAGCTTACCGTGAAAAACTGGTCTTCTATCATTCTATTTTAGATGCGGATTTTTTCATTTTAATAGGGTACGTCAAGAGAATGTACACCAAGGAGGATTTTTCAAAATCCCCCCGCGGGGAGCATTATACATTTATAATAGATACATTTTGAACTACAACAACATGTGGCCTGGTACAGCTAGTAATAAATACAAATACCTGGGCTATCTAAATTCTCAATACACTCATGAATATAAAAAAAATCTAAAGAAGTAAAATATTAAATTTAATATCTTCAAATACTTACTTTACAGTTCCTGAAAATCTTTTATCTTTCTGAGGATCATAGTTCTTCAAAGCTATTTGTAGCTCAACAGTTTCAAGAAACTTCCTCTGTTTCTTGTGAGCATTTTCCAAAACAGAGTTAACACATTCGTATAATGTGTCACGACTTACTTTTGAACTAAATAATAAAAAATTAATATTTATTATGAGATAGCATAAGATATAACTTATATGCAAATATTTATGCAATAAATTACACACACACACAGAGTATTAATATGTTTGATATTTTGTAAATTTTGGGGTTTAGAGGTCAATAAAATGAGCATTGTTGTATGAAACAACCTAGGTTAGAAACAAAAACTGGCAGGTGTGGCTTGCAGAAAAGTTGGATGGGTCTGTATTAGTGTTGCAACAAATAGTATATTTGGCCTCAGGCTGAATACCAAATATTCAGCCAAACTATTCGGCTCGATTAATGCACGCACGAAAATTGGTGCGCAAACCGAATTATGGCAAGGACCCTCTATTGGCCCGCTGTCACTATGTTTCGCCAATTGCGTTAATTCTTGACAGTTGTAGCGGACAGACAAGAGCGTCATGGCAGTATGTGATAAGTGATGATATCAAATGTGGATAACAATGAAATGACCTACATGTGTAAATAACAGAAGAAGAACAGAGAAGGACCGCAAAGTGAAAATAAATATGAAATTGTGTTGATAACATAATCGAACAAGTCGATTATGTTATCAACTCAATAAGCTGCCTCGAACAAGGCATGGCAGCTTATTGGCGCGAAATTCGCGGACGTGAATGCCAAACAATTGTTGTCATAGACTTCGGAAAGCTAAATGCTTGTAATGAAAGTCACTTAGCATGCACGGACGAAAGCCTGGGACTGTTCGTGCTACCAAGCTGTCTCAAATCTGTGAAATCATAACTGTGACTTATACTGACATACTATCTGTCTCTTTTCTTCTTTATCACCAGGCTATGAGTCACGTAATTGTAAAATGGGAAATCTACGACGGAAAAGTGACAAATCAAAAGTATCGTGGGCAGGTATAATGATGTATGCATAGGCATATGTGGACTAGAGCAATAGAGGAAAGAGAAAGGGAAGAGCAAAGACGGGTGCTTAAAAAAGGATAGGCAGGGTCAGATCCTCAGATGTGTGACGATTCTCGAACGAATAGGTGTGTACGTGTGCTGATCCTTGTAATTATAAATTGTGAATACATGTGACTAATATTATTTTCATTTTTATTTTGTGCATGTTATAAGTTATGAACAAATATAAACAAACAACACTAACCCGATAACATTAAATCTAAATACTAAAATGATTAATTTACTATGTTTTTGTTATTTCTTACTCCTGTTTTTGGTATTCGGCCGAATACCGAATAGTAACCGAATATTTGTTACATCACTAGCCTGTATGGCAGACAAGTCATCATGTCTCTACTATTACCTATCTGTATTGTGTTTTGAGATTATCATGTCTAGACAACAAACCATGTTTTGTTGTTCTCTACAAGAGTGTGCTCTCTTCTTTGATACTATCAAATGCTAAAATAATACAGATGGAAAGTTCTTTTTTTTCAGTGGTTTTTCACACACTAAACTCTTTATGTATCTCAAAATCCCCCAATGTAAAGTAGTAAATTAAAATTTATCTGATGGCTGAAGCTGTGCCAAGTTTTGTTTTTAATCTCAGGCTTCTTCATAAAAAGTACTCATCTCATCAACCTCTTCCATGTACAATCTCTTAAATCGATGGAACATCAAACATTAACACTCTACAACAGTGATTCTCAAACTTTTTTACGTCATGGTACACTTTTAATAATTTAAAAATTTGGCGGCACACAAGGTTACTTTGGTAAGTATTGCAGGACAACCGGTGACATCATAACAGTGATTTTTAAATGCATTTGGTTAATTAGGTCACGTTTTCAAAATGCCTTGCTAACTACTGGCAGTTACCGGTAACAATGGTTACAATTTCTAAACATACCCTAGAAATATAGAACTAATTGAACTACTTGTCTGATGTCGTTTATGTGTGGGTATGCACAGTGGCAGCACAATGGTTGAGAATCACTGCTCTACAGGGTTAACAGATTGTCCCATGACCCGTTACAGGAAAGTGAGGACTGGCTTAATTTTTATGTAATTAAAAAAGGTCCCTTTAAAATACATAACTTTAATTGTAATATTTTTTAATTGGATATATATTTTACGAAATATTTGTCAGGGACATATATTCTAACAGTATAGTCAAGAATTCAAAATCTGGACATAAATAAAAACAGCAAGAGGTTGCTCAACTTTCCTGGCAACATTTAAAATTTTGATGGTGCAATCCGTTATCATATTTTATTAAAAGCTTTTTACATTTTAAACTATTATAAAATAGCAAAAAGCTTAATTTTGAGGATAGGGATGAATTTTATAAAAAATTGTAAATGCTAATAACGAGTAAAACTGTCTTCAAATCAGACCCTACTGGAGATACATGACCCCCATTACTCCCCACCCCCTCAACCTTTAACCATCAAAATTTAATAGCATCAATTCCCCTAATAAATAAACCTAGATTATTTATTAGGAGATTGATGCTATTTCAGAAATTTTGACAATAAGCACAGGAGTTATTTCAAATCACAACTCATATTTAAAAGTTAAATCTAGAATACATGAAAAATATCAATTTTAATCAAACTTACAATTTAAATCTACAGTGAGTCATAAAAGTCATCAGACACTTTTGTCATTAAAATAATTTATACTACTAATTTTTTAAGTAAAAGTAATATTAAACAAAACTTGCTTGTTATTTCCTCTATTGTAATTAAATTAACTATATACTACTACATTATTGACAACAGGAAAATTAACACAAAGCAATAAAGGTCAGAAAATTAACTAGACAGCTTAAAGCTATTATCATTATTTGTGATTTTTATGAGATTTACCCATAATTCTATGGTAGTCCGTAAAGGTCAGATCAGAATAATGACCTTTATATTAGTAATATTACATTGGAACCTCGCTTAAAGAGCAAAACAAATTGTGAAAAAATGACTTAATGAAGCAGCAGCTCAACAGTACATTATACAGTGGGTGATAGGTTAACGAACATAATGCGTTCCAAGACTTGATTCATTATCCGAATTGTTCATTAACCAATTATCAATTTACCATAGGTTTTTATGGAAATTTGATTAATTTATTCCGAAGACTCCAAAAAATAAAAACATTTTTACTACGTTTATTTATATGTAATAGTAAAAATACATATATATGCAGTCTTGCCTTTTTATTACTCATGTTTTTTCAGCTTGTGGGAGTTAAAGAATCTGTCCAACGTCGATTGCTTTTCTCTTTTCTTCAGGATATTTCGGAAGTAATTAATAATATTGTAATTGTAGAGATCCCCAACCCATTAACCTTATTTTGGTTTGAATGCCACTTGGATGATCGTTGTTATGACATCCTTCCACTTCTTCAAAAGATCTTTAGTATCAGATGTCGACATTGGTCCTTTATCATCTTCCTCTTTTTCAAAAGAAAACACATCTCGATGAGTTTCTTGGTATTCTTCATTTGAGAGTTCTTGGAGTTCTTCTGTCGTCAGATCAGTTTCAGGTTCCATTATGAGCTCTAAAATGCTCTTTATTTCTCAGATGTGACTTTCATTACTCCATTAGCAGCTCGAGACTTCTTGATATATCTTTCATAGCTAAGATTGTGCCTACTGTAGACCTGTTCAAGCCATACTGCCTAGCAACATCAGACATCTTGTGCCCACTTTCTACCTTGGCTATTATCTCTTACTTAGTTTCTACGGTGAGCACAGTTCTTGACTATGGAGATCTTTTTAGGCTCCATAATATTATCAGTTTCTTTTTTAAATAAAAAGTTCTGAAAAGCACTTACAAAAATTCAGAGAACAGAAATCAACTAGCCCACAAAAAATTATTTAAATGCAAGGCCCGGATGAAATTCGAAATTTGGTATTAAAACGTTAACAGGAAAGATTGGACAGTTAAACTTTCACCTTTTGTAAATAAACCCTGATGCAAAACTTAATAAGTGCCAGTCCGACAGTCTCACGAATACCATAAAAAATTATTTGTCAGAAAGGTAAACAAATAGCTGGAATTACAAGGGAGAGTTTCAAAATTCAGAGGAATAATATCTGATTGGTACTGGGTTGAGCATCTTCCGCACTCCGATAGATTATGAATACGGGAAGCATGTAATATTTGCAGACAAAAGCAAATTTAACATCTTCGGCTACAATGGTCAAACCTTGGTGTGGATAAAAGTAAATTGTAAAAAACCGAATAAAGAAAAACTTGTACCAACAGTAAACACAGAGAAGGAAATGTTACAATATGACAGCCAATGTATGGAGTTGAAGACTTGTGTTTATAAATGGAAATATGAATGTAAAAGGATATTTAAATATTTTAAAATTAAATCTAAAGACTTTTGTAGAAAAACTAGGTATCTCAAATACTTTCCATTTTTATCAGGATAATGATCTAAAACACAAATCTTTATGGAATGAAATAAATAAAAATATTCAAAAACAAAATATTGGTAACAAAAATGAGATAAAAAGTCCCCTCAAATATGAATGGGAAAAATTTGAGGTAAATTTTACATCACAGAAAAACTAGTGAAATCAATGCCAAACAGATTGAAAGCTGTATTGGAAAGAAAAGGTAATCCAACAAGTTATTGAAATATTTACTGCTATGTATAATTGATTTTTAATTTGCAATAAATATTATCTGCCTGATGATTTTTGTTAGCTTAAGTTTATCATTTTGTTTCTCTATTTTTTTTCTTCCTAAATTGGAATCCTTAACTGGAATAAATATGATATTTCTTCCCTTTATTCATGTGTCCAATGACTTTTGTAAGTCACTGTAGATCATACTTTAGATTTAACTCAAGGTGGTGATACAGCCTTAAGGGTCACGTTATAAACTCCATAATGTAACCATATCTGTATTTGTAAATGTTCGCTACACTGGATATCTATAGCAACAGTTGTAAACTACCGTAAGGTCTTTTCCATATCAAGCTTTTTTACAGTTTACGAAGCAGTCCATCATGAGCATGCGCAAAATCATCTGTAGTTATTGCCAGATCTAACACTATAATTATTTATTAATTTTATTATTTTTCTATTGTTTTTATGACCAAAGTAATTTTTATCTTAAAATTTTATATTATTCAGAAGCAGCATTGTCTGCCAAAAGTTACGTTTCAATCAATTTGTCAAAGTTTCGTTGGTTGCTTCTGGCACAACTTCCAATTGTACATCAACTGACGGTGACTTAGTGCATGCGCAGTTGCTCCCTACTGTAAAAGTTTGACCAATCCAAACTTTTCTTATGGAATATGGTATGGAAATACAGATACGATACAAAATTTATAACCACACTATATGGATACACTTACAGCTATGGATATGGTTACGTTACAGAGTTTATAACTCGACCATAAAGGAATGATGTTGATTCAATCACTTATAAAATATTAAAAAATAGTGAAAATAAAAAAGGTCTACTTAGAACATATGAAAAAACAAATGTTTATTAAATAATACTTTTAAAAAATTATTGGATTACTTATAATTTGGTAAAACAGAATAAGTTGCCTAAATATAGTAGCCTAAAGCCTGATAAATATCTCATCTGCTACTTGTAACCCAATCTTGCCCAGCCATATTTTGTAAGATAAGAAGAAAAAAGTATTCCACAAATAAGGTGACATCTCAAAAGCAAAACCATGTTTGGACAGAAATTTCACTTCAAAATTTGAAGTGAAATTTCTGTCCAATATTTCAAACTAACCAAATACCTTAACATGTAAATCTCTATGTTTCCAGCTGGGACAAATAGTACAGTTACGAACTATCCAAGTTTGAATTAACAAGGATTTCCTGTATTTAAGTACAGGTATACCTCGACTTACATTGTTTCGAGTTATGTCATTCCCGATTATACGTCATTTGTCAAAAAAGTATATGGAAAAATAAAAATCAAGTTTAAGTCATTTTATTCGATTTTACGTCTGTCCGCCACAAATATTTTAGTCGTAATATCACTAGAAAAATGTTTAACGCACATAAAATATATACATTTACAAGTATGTACTGTATTTACAGTACATGCATTCGTAAATTTAGATTACTTTTTTCTGTACTATATTAAAAACTAAAATTTATTTGTTTGTAATCTTAAAATAGATCCTTATTAACCATACATTATTAAAAATGCATTAATAAATAAAATACAGAACCGGAATTGGCAATTTATGGTTTAGCCTAGTGACAAGTAGATTTGGAGACAAGTAAATTTGACTTACGTCTTTTTTCGACTTAAGTTGTTCTCCTGGAACCAATTACCAACGTAAGGCGAGGTATACCAGTATATTAAACAACCCGAAGCCCAATAATATATAAATACATAGCCCAGGGGTGGCCAAAACGTGGCGCATTGGACGATTACAAGTGGCGCTTCAGTTAGTTCTGAGCAAAATTGCCAGATTTGGCTTTTTGCGATTAAGAATATTATAGAGAAAAATAAATTTTTTATAGTCTGTCTTGGTAAGTTCATTTGTTGCACAATTCGTTACAGTCTATTTTGCAGATAAAATGAGTATTCTCCACATAGTAAATTACAATGTATGCATGTATTTTGAGTCTTGCGATCTTTATTTCTGATCAGTTTACAGGCGTGTAAATGGCCGAAAACATTTATTGTGATTAAAGTTATTCCAAGCTGATCTCGTTCTCAGTGCCAATAATTGTGGTGCAGAGTAATCTTCAACAAACGAGACTCTGGCAGCTATAGCACCATCATGAAGCAATCACCCTGTCGTACAGGAAATCATTGCTGACTATTGTAAATTGACGCTTCAATAAACTGTCATAAATTAATTAATTCAACTGCGTGATTAAGTTATTCCCTTTTCTCCCCTAAGCGAAGCAGATTTATTCTTACCTCTATCAACCCCTAACATTGAACGTAAGACTATACGAAAAGTGTTCGAGTTATATGGTGCATCTGAACTTGTCTGTCAAAAAATTGGCGCATGGTATGCAAAAGGTTGGCCACACCTGACATAGCCAAACGATCACCTTAAATACTCACTATAAATTCACTATTTTTAATAATTAATAATAAGTAATTTGCTACTAGAGGTAGACGTTAGGCACCATCTCTTATCTAAATTAATAATTATAATTCAAATAATTTAAAATCATCTGGAAGAAAAAAACCGGCCCAGGGTGAGGCTCGAATCAGCAACGCCTGCTTGCCAGTTATGCCACCTGGATCCCGAGCAAGCCTTTGTTTCCAGATGTATTTAAATTTAGATATAACCTTATGCGATAAATTACAGCACCAGTGGATTCAGAGCCCAAGTATTTAATATAATTTTTTTGTTATTTATTTCCTGTGTTAATATTCTGTTCAAATGTACTCTATAATCTTAATAGTTGAGATACTAAACTTTAAAGAAAGATGATACTAATAAAAAATGAAAACCATAGTAGATCTACTGTAAAACTAATAAAGCTTTATTACCACAAAGCAACTTTTTTCGTGTTGCCTACTGTTGCTGGTTGCAAAGGAGCAGGCAGCACAACAGTTAAGGCTCAGACTACCAGAAATGCTGGTATGCCACGGAATAATGATTGTAACTAAATGACAAATATGATTAAGAGTTAATAGTAAATAAATAAATTCAAGATATTGAAATGAATAATCAAAAATGAACGGATCACATCAAACAATATATTTATCAACATTCCTTCTATACTTTACCAAAACTTTACTACACGACAATACTGATCAAAACTATAATCAAAATTTCATAGAAACTTGTTTTTTTTGAAAATATTTACCACACAAAAATAAATTATTGATATTATGCTGTAATTTATCCTCTACGTGTATTCAACAACTATTACTGATGGTGATTATTTATAAAACGGATCTAATTCATTATTTCGTTTATACGTCTTCGTAAAATTATTTATTACATTTCTAGTTATTAAGATTTAATACACGAAACAAATACTTTTAAGATTTTAGTGACCGAATCGCCATATTTGACTCGTCAGCAAGAGTTCTAAATTAATTTTAACACGTTTTAACAGGAAATTATTATTAATATTAAGATCTATCGAAATAATGAAATGTTTTAAAACATCGGAACGTACGTTTCGACCAAAATTTACAAAATAATTGAGGATTAAAAAAGATTAAAACTTACCTCATGTTCTTGCTGCAAACACGAGCGGGAAAGAAAATGGCGATCACGTGACTGACTTCATCCCTTCGTTCCCTTTTTTCGTTAAAAATATCTTCATGACTAAATTACAGTTGAATTTTCCGTAAACAACTATAAATTATATACCGAATTTTTTAAATAGTAAGAATTATTAATATAATTTTTTCATAAACGCTAAAATATAAATCGTTTAAATTTTTTTTTAAATTTTAAACTAGATACCCTATATATTTTTACTTTTTAAAATCCCTTAATGATAATTTTATAGGGAAATTGTTTCGGTTTTTATAGAAATTTCCCTATATTAGACGTAAACTACTACTAAATGTGATGACGAAAAATCAATGGTGGAAGCTGATTGGTTAAGAGATCGAATTACTAGAAGTGAGTTTTGTGTATTGTATGGCATCGTCATTCTTTTCCTCCGGTTGGAAGTGATTATATATAAACGCGTATATTTTCCGAAAATCGCAAAGGAGAGATCATTTGGAATAACGATTATAATACCTGTTTTTTGGTGATATATAACTGTCGAACATGGTACCGGGTGAAAACACCCAAATGGTACCGGTTGAGGTAAGCCTAATATTTATCCCTAATTTTGATCATTTTTTTAAAAAAAAATTTAAACTCATTTAAAAAAATTCAATCGAAAAATATAATCGTATACACAAGTTAAGAGTATATTAAAATAAAACGCGACGTTTCCTTTAATGGTTTAATTCTTTATAGACGTGATCCATATTAGAAGTTGGCAGTCCAATTTTTGGATATTTTTGTAAATAGGGTCATAGCATCGAGTAGTTAAGAATTCTGCTGGCTGTTAGAGATTTATGTAAGGATTTTTATAAAATACCATCCATTTCTAATGCGTTGATTAATTACGATTAATAATTTTTTACTTAAAAATAAACTAATATTCATTAAAACGCAATCAGGCAAACAGGAAAGATATTTTTCATTATAGAATAAAATAATTGATTTAATAGGTAAGTGTGACTGACAAGACTTGATTATAATCAGATAGGTTCAGTACCCATTTCTTATTGATAGTATAAAATAAATTTTAACAATAAGAAAAACAAGTATTTTATGTAAATATTTAAATATAATACAAATTAGGTAGAAGTTAATTTTAGTGCATGTATATGTACTGTACAGTACATAATATACTTAAAAGTAAGGTAAAAGTAACTTCTACTGAAAATTATGAAAATGATTTATTTATATATACTTACAGCAAAAAGAATTTCGTAAAGATTACAGTGTACCATTTTAAAAAAAAGAATTTTTCGAATTTATTATTTGGAAGCAACAAATTTAAATAAAAAAAAATGTAATATCAAAGTTCATAGAAATAGAAGGATGCATACAATATTGTAAACAAACTTTCTGTATAGAAATGATGTATTGAATTAATTTGAAGAAATATCGTTGCATATTTTACAAAAGATAGAATAAAATATATGCTGTACTATGCTTTAATATGAAAGTATTTTTATAATAGATAATTAGATTTTATTTATTCATGTGAATATAACATTTTAATGCTGTCTATATTAGTTTAAAGTTTGGATTAGCAGATTTATAAAGAAAGTCAAAAGGACCATAGATAATATGTAAAAAATATTATATTTGATATACTGTATATGTCAATCAAATATAGTGTAATGTATATTATATTGTGTAGTAGTTATCAGTTTTTCATTTTTACCAGTAATGGATGTTATAATTATTAGGAACAGTATTTATAGCTTATATATATATTGTTTCATTAAAAACTAAATATCTTATAAAATAAAAAAATTACTGTGATCGTACTTTTGCAGTTTTCCATTTTTATTTAGGTAATATCAAACATTGTTTGTTTATTTTTGTTTTGAATAAATTTGTCATAATTAAACACAATTAAAAATCATCTAGAATTTATTAACTTGGTGAAAATAATGTTAATAAAAATACTAGTTTGAAGAAGTAGAGAATACAATAGGACTGGTATTCATGTGTAACTTTAGCATTCTACAACATGTATAATTTGTAGGTGTATACCTACAAATTAGAATCAGATTCAGTTTATTTTAAATCATAATTTATCTATATTTCAAAAACTTATATTTATATATTCAAAGCACTAATAAATTCTTTGTGAAAAAACTGAATATTAACAATATAGTTAATATCTGAAATTGATGACAGATGGTACACTTAATCCTAATTAAGTAAAAAAATATTAATTTTAATTTTATATCTAATAATGTTTGTTCTCTTTTGTTGATTTTGAATAAATTTAATGGAGCTTTTAATATTAAAACTATACATAGAATTATTAAATTAAATAAATTTTTTTCAAAATATTTATTTTAATTTATAATATATTATAAATTAACTTATGCTAAAGTAGAACTTATTCCTGTTTATTGTTTTAAATGTAAAAATTGGATTAAATGAAACAACTGAATTACTAATTCATTTAAAATATTTTTATACAGGGTGATTCAAGATAGCTGTATGAAGCTTCCCAATGAATTCCCTACCATGAAATGCAACAAAAGTATATAATCAACAGTGGTCATATCTTGTTTTTGATATATTAGCATGCAAAAATCCTGTCAGTCCCATACCAACATGCTATGACAAAAAAAAAAAAGGTTAAAGTGATGCATGAAACCTAATGTTATTTCTTAAAGTATACACCTTAAACATAACTGTTTATTGCTTACAGATAGTGTTAAAGGTGTCTTGTGTGTGTTGTCACATGTACATACCTGTAGTCATCTTTGCAATTACAGTCGACCCCCGTATAAGATCATTGATTATTCCGTTTTATATGAATTCCATGTTGTACAAGTCACTTAAATTTTACAAATACGTGAGCCGTTCACAGCCCGGTACACGTATTTGTAAAATCTAAGTGACTCGTACAACATGGAATTCATATAAAACGGAATAATCAATGATCTTATACGGGGGTCGACTGTACTGTATTTTGTAACCTGTTCAAGATAGCTGTAACATATTTATTTATTTATTTATTTCAGTTACAATAGGAAAAGCGTAAACTATTTAATATGTAAACTATAAGAAATAGTGTTTACCTGTGATCCTATAAGGAATAGTGTTTGCCTGTGATACCATATAAGAAATACCTGGCCTTTTTGAACAGGTTAGAGAATCTTTGCAAACATGGTTATAGGTATGTTTGACAGCACACAGAGAACACAGTGAACATTTTCTGTAAACAAGAAACAATTAACTTTAGTCTTTAAAATGTATACCATAAATATATGTTTCATGCATACGCTTATACATTTTCGTTAACATGTCTTGAGACTGATGGGATCTTTTGCAGATTAATATTTCAAATATGTGATATTACAAATCTTGTTAATTTTACATTTTCATTGAATATTGTGGTGGGAATTTATTCATGAAGTTTTGTACAGTCATTTTGAATCATCCTGTATAATACATATAGTTTGATAATAACAGTTTTGAGCTACTATTAATATTTTAAAATGTTAGTAATTTGCTTGAAGAAAATTTTTGGGAGGAAAACTAATTTGAATTCATAATTTGTTACCAATTAATAAAAGTAAAACTATTATTTCTTTCTGAAACTTTTTTCACTTCACTTAACATTAAAAAATATCTCAGAACTGTCAAATGTTTTGCGTATGCAAATGTTTGGTATAGTTAATCAAAAGTTCTTTTGACTGTTTTTTTTTTCCTTATGTATAAGTATATAACATTTTACTATGTGAATACCATTTACAATTTAAATTTTTTATTTTTGACATCAAAATACAGTACCTAGATGATCATTTCTACACATATTAAGTATTTTTATGGTTAAAGATTATTGTTTAAAAAGTTTTATTTGTTTATGCATGAAGAAAGTTGTTCTAATGTTTTTAGTTAGTTATTAAGTATACATTTACATATAAAATATTTATTATATTTAGGAAGTTTGAATATTATGTAATCAACGCAACTGAACAGCATTTACCTGTTTGGCAAGGCCATGAAAGTGTGTCAAATAACTTTGTAGATTCATATATGAAATTCATAGTTTTTTCTAGCACCATATTTTAAAAATAATTTATATTTGAAACTGCAGCCTTTTTCAAACAGTCATCTTTATTTGTCAAGATCTTTTAGATTCTTTAGAACTTAGCTTCAATTAAAGATATATTATTTTTGTCATCGATTGCAAAAGGTTTGTAATGGTTGCAACACTTAATCAGTTTTATATTTTTAAAATTGACAATGAACAAATTTTTGGAAGTGATATTTTATAGAACATTTTGATTAAATATTCATATTATATGCATGATTATTGTTGAAATAAATACACAAGCCATCCATTGCACAATGCAGAAAACACACAACTAGACAACACCTGGTGTAGATAACATTCACAATTTCTGGTACAAAAAATTTACATCCCTGCACCAGGAACTAGCTGAACATTTAACTCATATCATCAACAATCCACAAGACAATTTGCCACAATGCCAATTTTTCTCATGCAAGATATGAAACCAAAAAACAACACCATCACCAAAGACCCAGCATGATACAGACCAATCACATGTCTTCTAATACTTTTACAAGATTTTTACTTGTAGCATTGCAAACAAAATATGCAATCATACTGATAAACATAACATTCTTACAGAACAACAAAAAGGCTGCTGTAGAAATCACAAAGGTTGTAAAGAACAACTACTCATTGACTGTTATTCTTATATAAGACTCACCAAATAAACCAACACCAGTTCATAACCAAACAGAAAAATTCTTTCCACGACTGTTATTCTATTCTATGGCAATTTCATAAGAAACACAGAAACATACACATGGCATACATTGATTATAGAAAAGCATTTGACAGTGTCCCACACACTTCACATCTAAAAAAATCCATCCCCAACTCATTAGTTTCCTTGTTTCTACCATGTTCCATTGGAGAACATTACATCTTAACCTCCATAACACTTATATAAAAACAAATCAAATACAAATCAAGCAAGAAATTTTTAAGAAGATTTCTTGAGTTCTCTTTGGATCTGCCTTGCACTTAACCCTTTATCTAACGCATTGAACAAAACACAATGTGGTTATAATATCAGACATAGCAAAACAACACTGTTCACGTTATCATATCTACATGGACATCATCAAATAACAATACCTTCCAACGTGATTACTGGTGTTAATGAACACTCTTGACAAACGTTTATGTCCAGTAACGTTTAAAATTTGTAAAAGGAATGTTTTCGGCCTCACTTGAGGTCTACTTCAGGTTAAATTGAGGAATTTCAAACTTAGAATGCCTGGTATCAAACAATTTCAAATGTTAAATTTTAAAATAGATTTGGAACATGGTTATTAACTATATTTAATGGTTGAAAAAGTGTGTCATCTATGTGTAAATACATAGGTGTCCCATGTAAGCCTGTTAATCGTGGGACTGGTATAAACATAAATAATACACACTTACGGAGTGTCAGCGACTTCTTGTTCCTCGCATAAGTAGCACCAGGCATACTATAATGCATTGTCATCCTTAAAGT